TGTTGTTGTGGGATGGCTCATTAGGAAAATATGTGAGTTCAAAAAGTTTTGTATGTTTAGTTTCTGAGATATAAGAAGACAAAGTTCGTAAAAACCTCGTATCGGAGTAGGATAGACAAAGAAAAAAACTGTTTTTTTAGTATAAATGAAACAAAATAAGCTGAAAAATGTATTGATCGGAACTCATGAACATGTCTAGTTATAATCACATGAATTATAGTAAATCAGGGTGTAAACGAAACATTAAGAAATGTAAAAACTTTTTGCATATGATAGTCAACATATTCAAAATAGTGTGAGTAAAATGAGATCGAAATTTACGAAACTGTTTTCGATATATTCAATTGAAACATTTTAAATAATCTTCAACAAAATCTAACACACCCTGTATCTAAATGAAAAGCAATATTGAACAATTGAATTTGCTAGTGAGTTACCTCAGCTTTCATTCAATCAACAGTATCAATCAATCCCTATTTTTGTGATCAAAAACAAGCTGTCAATTGATTTCCAAAAGGGGTATAACACAAAATTCAAAGAATTCATATTTTGAACAGAGACAGTTATCAAAAATGAAAATACGTTTTCGAAGCCTACAATAGACTTAAACTATAATATCTCACCAAAATATAACTTGTTGGTTTTGGAATAGTGCTCGAATTAATTATTCCGAAAAATGAATTTTTTGACCGTGCCTCGTATACACCCTGATTTACTATAATTGATGTGATCATAACTAGACATGTATTTGAGTTCCGATCGATACATTTTCTAGCTTATTTTGTCTTATTTATACGAAAAAACAGTTTTTTTCTTTGTCAATCCTACTCCGATACGACGTTTTCACGAACTCTGTCAGCTTATAATATCTCAGAAACTAAACATACAAAACTTTTCAAACTCACATATTTTTCTAATGAGCCATCCCACAACAACATAGTAAAATCTCAGCCAATTCGACCAAGAGCCAATTTCCCGTGTTTTCGTGCGGGGTCCTTTGTAAAGGCGCGAACTAAAAGTTCTAATGGTCAGGGGGGCCGTCAGGATGGTTGTTCTGATGGGGGCCTGCACTGGTCTCTGAACGGACCTGCCTATAGTAGTTATTTTTGAAAAAGCTCTTCATGCCCTGTTCTCACTGAGGATAATTGGTGGTTGTGGCACTAAAAAAATATAATTATCATGCTTGTATATTTGAAGGAACGCTTGTTCTGTGCACTCACTAAACCAGGTGGCTGGCTTCGTCTCAACATTTTATCATCGATGTTCCATAACATTTCTTATTCCGTTGTTATTGCCAGACCAGAAACAAATTGAAGCTTCTTTCTTCACATTGATTTTTCATGAGCTATAAGCTATTGTCAATATTGCCGGTTTGATCATCATATGTTTCATTCTCGAGTGAATCGTTATACTTCATTTTGAAAGATTTTATCAGAAAACTCACAGAAAGATGAAGTGACTAAGTATCATTTATTTTTTCCAGAGCTGGATAAATATTCCGAAAACAACAAGTACATTCAATTATCGAGTATTATTATCGATTGAATATAGAAGATTCAAATATTCAATAATTCCAAAGGTTAAGAATTATTTGAATACTCTAAATACAATAGTATTCAAATAGTCTTCAGCAAGTATTCTAATATCTCAAGTAGATTCAGATAATTTCAAGTTATTTGATAATTCCAAAGTAATCAAATATTTCGGAGTTTTTCAAATGTTCTCAAAGTGAGTATCCATATATTCTCGAACCATTCGAATACAAAGTTCCTCATACCATTAGTATTTGAATACTTCAGAAATATTTCGAATGGCACTTTGGAAATATCTTGAATACTTTATATATTTATTCGTATTTCAATAAAAATATCTGTGAATACCAAGTCATAAACATATTCATTATAAGTATATATAATTCCTTGCACCAGAAAGTATTTATAAACCCGGGTATCCAAATACTGAACAATATTAAAATACCCGAAAGTAATTATGTGAATATACAAATATATGGCCGAAGATGATTCCGCACGATTCACTGTTGCATTCCAACTAACAGTGCTGCTCCTGAGATGTCGTATGGAGACAAAATCAGAGCCCACACATAACACATATGGCTGAAAGACCTCCCGTATGGTCAATGGCAAGTTGGTGTGTACATACCCACCAACAAAGTACATATACTACTACTACGAATACATGCCCAGCTCTGATATTGGTACTCTTAGATATATTTTGTCTCTCGGAGCGCACATAATGAAATCCCTATAATGTTCAAGCAACATCGTGCATACCTAGGGAGGATAGAAAGAGAAGGAAGAAGGAATTGGATTTTTTTCGAACTCCTGGTGATTATAATAGCTGAAATACACTTTGACCCTTAAAATCAACCAAACACCGAATATTTGTATTAAATTCAGTTCAATATGAACACCTCATTTGTGGTATAAAAGGGCTGTGCAAAAATATCGATATATCGATATATATGGAATAACGATATCTGCAAAAAAATATATCGATATATCAAATGATGATATCATCAAAAAATCTCGATAAATATCGATATATCGAGGCGTATCGAAATAAAATTTTCATTATCGCACAGTCCTAGTGTATAATACTAGTAAGTAGTTACCTAATAAAAAGTAGAAACAAACCACACGATTCCAATATGACTTTATACAACCTCTTGACATTTTTTTCTTCATTTCATGTCATTATTTTTTTCCTTCTAGAGCGAATCCCTATACTCCTTCAAGAACATCGTGCGTACCTAGAGAGAATAGGGAGTGGAGATAGAATTTTGTTCGAACTTTTACGCGCTTTCCGTGCTATACAAACGAGCTTTGGTGGAGTTATAAAATGTGAAAAGTAGGTTCCCATTTATGTAATTTCATTTTGTTCAAGGTATTCAAAATTAGAGAGGAAAATGGTTAATAGAATACTTATACTTGGAGTGTAACAATAATTGAACCCGAGCATTTGCTTTCTTAGAGATCAGGAGCACCGGACGTATCAACGATTTTTGCAGTGTTGTTGGACATTCAATAATAGTTTAAAGATCTGGAGTCGCTTCCCATAAATTGGGTATAAGTATTATACAGGGCTTTTCATCTAAAACTACGCACGCCATTATCTGGAAAACGAATAAAAATATTTGATTACTGTAGAAAGTAGTTAATGGATGGGGTCAAGAAGAGTTCAAAAAATGCAATGCCTTCTAAAAGCTGAGCGTCGCGATGCGTCGAAAATATAAATTGATTGCATTGACTTTGAAATCACGCGCATTAAACATTACATGTTATATAAACTTCCTTGTAATCTACTCGAACTTATTTATTCAACTCATCTCTGAGTTATACCGGTTTATAGTAAGTGTTTCCTGATTGACAAAATATGCGATTGAGTATGATTCCTACAAGAAAGTCGATTAGTTACCTTGGCAACCATTGTTATCGCAATTGTTTCAAGTGCAAAACTGAATGGAGCGACGAAATTAGAGTCCATGATGATGAACATACACAACTGTCGTTTTTAATCCGAAAACCATCCTCTTGGATCACAAAGAGAAGTGATCAGCAAATTTTTGGAACTAATATTTGGTGCGCCACGATAAAAAGGTTCCTTATTGGGCCTCACTTTTATGAAGCACTTCAAATGCAGATTGCTATCTAAGATTTCTTCAAACTACACTTCCAGAACTATTGGGAGAAGTTCCCTCTGAGCATTAGAATGAATATGTCGCTACTGCAGGATGGAGTGCCTGCTATAATCATACCGAAATTGTTACGAGGTGTTTAAATAGAGAATACCCCAAAGGATGGTTCGGCATTAATGGACCAATGAAGTGGCCGGCGAGGTCCACGAATTACAACACTAGATTATTTTCTTTGTATCACAAAGAACGTTGTCTATGAAGAACCATTCGAACATGGATTAACGACTCCCCCTTGTTAATCTATGGTATAGCAAACCTCATAGACAAAATCAGTGCAGTGTTTTCCCGCTATACAAGAAGGACGTTTCTACAAGTGATCCAAATTCATCTGTTCAAAGTTTTTGATAGTTGTATTCGAGCAGATTGCCATAATTTTGAAAACAAAATTTCGATTTGTTCCATCATGAAGTATGTATAGTTGATAGTAATAATCATTTTTTATTATTAGTTCAACCAGAAATGAGTAAATTATTGTGAAACGAAGAAACGTTTAGGTACGATGAACCGGTATGTCACTCAGAAATGAGTTAAATAAATGAGTTCGAGTGAATGACGAAGAAGTTTATAAATAACATGTTCTGTTAAGTGCCCTCGTAATTTCAAAGTCAATGCAATCGATTTATATTTTCGACGCGTCGCGACGCTTAACTCTTAGAAGGTGATGAATTTTTTGACTACGATTAAAATCTACTTAACCCCATTCTCTGACTACTGTTTACAGAGATTCAATATTTCTATTAATTTTTCGAGATATTGGCGTGCGGATTTTCAAGTGAAAACCCTGTTTAGTAAAAATTCACCGACGAGTCATTTCAAATCAGATCCTGTTTCGGTTAACTTTCGCTTTCCCATGCCCTTTCATTCGACACAGTCCTCAACAGGTACCTATACCTATATTAAGTGTTCGACACAGTACAGGTAAAACCGTTGGAGTTGGAAGTGGTATAGTGGGTATTCAATGCCGTATTATGTCTTGTTATTGTCAATGAAATACGTTGGCAAATTCTTGGTCCCACCGCTTTCTATTTGACTCATTGACTGACTTGCATCTAGTAGCCCATGTTCACCTCAAGCGTGTTAGTTCTACTTTTTGTCTTCAACAATCCTCAATCGTCGGTCGATTTTAGTTGAGTATTATTATTCAGAGCGATATGTTCTTGACTGCCTATTGAACTCTCATGGTGTGATTGAGTGTGTGGAAAGATTGAATAATAATTGTGTGTTAACATCAAAATGTAATAGTTTAGTGTATATTTTGTGAATCCAAATAGAAATCCAAGCCAAAATGTCTATCAGATGGCTGAATATTTGCTCATTATTAGTATTAGGTAAGAAAGTTATTATTTATTATGGTTGTTCAGTAGGTAGTGTTTGTATCACTTTCATTTAGAACGAAATATTTATAATATTATAAACTTGTATAAGGACCAGACATTTCCGATACAAATTGTTTAGTCATATTGAATGATGAGATTACTTGAATGGATACATAGTTGCCACTATAAAAATAATTCGATTTCACCCTCTCAGGAGGGTACTTTAACCCTAGCTATTTTAAAAAAATCATTCCTGACCGAGCATTTATGGTTGAAACTTTTACTTGGAATTGCATATTTGGATATCCAATATTTATATAGATATAAAAATGCCACCAATACCTACATAATGGTCCCGATCTACTCTCCTTCAGAGGGATAGTTAATTCTTGCTGTTTTCCAAAAATCCTTGCTGATCGAGAAAATCTGGTTCGAATTTTTGCTTCCAATTGCATATCTGAATACCTATATATTTTTGCCACCGATATAATAATTCCGATCCACCCCTTCAGATTGGTACATACAGGGTGAGTCAGAATAATTAAACCGACAAACTTCGTATACGGATTCCTAACCTCATTTTGAGGTCAAAAGTTCCCATCAACGTATGTCCTACGATGCATCTCTGAGGTATAGGGTGGCAAAAAGTCGAGAAAAAAAGAGTTTTATATTAATTTCTCCGGCACACCTGTAGAAAAAAATTCAAACTTGGTATATTATTCCAGATTAATCGAGGTAATTACTTAGGATTTTCAGTATTGAATTTAATGAACCAGTGGCGTCGTTACTGTCGTATGTCGCCACTTTTTCATTCATATATTTCCATAGATAGATGAGATATCAAATTGGTTTATGATATCAGTTAGGCTTATCGATATCTATCCTGAAAGTTGTATCATTCAACATGCGTAAATGTAGAAGTTTCTGAGATATTTGCTGTGTGCCATGACCGCAAAAACTGATCTTGCACGAGATATCGAAAAATGTCTCAACCTCCTGAATATTTTTAAATGTTGAGGACATTGGAAACATGGTAAGGGTGAGTCTGGAGAAGATCGACAAACCTATTTTTCATTCCATACTACCCCTCTAGTCACTCCTTTCAGGTGATCAGTTTATATTAAGCTAAGTCTTTAAGTGCAACCTGTTTGAGATACTAGTAGTTGTTGAATATATGAAAAAAAATTAGCAGCACAATATTTTTTCTTGTACACGTATTACACATATCAATATTACCTCGAGACATATCTTTAGTTTTTTGCAAATATCTCAGGAACCTCTAAATGTAGGCACATGGAATAATTTTCATGTGAAGTATTAATGAGCCTTATTAATTATATGCACCAATTTGACATTTCATATATCTATGAAAAATATGGAAGAAAATGTGGCGACATTCGACCGTAACTAGGCAACTGGTTCATTAAATTCAATACTGAAAACTCCAAGTAATTACCTTGATTAATCTGGTATAGTATCCCAACTTTGAATTTTATTTTTCTATAGGGGTTCCGAAGAAACTATTATATATCTCGATTTTTTTAGTACACCCTGAATCGAGCCCTGAATAGTTCATTCTTCTTGTTCTTCAATTATCCTTGCTGACCAAGCATTTGTGGTTCGAATTTCTGCTTCAGATTGCAAATTCTAACATTCTATTCAGGAACAGTTGCCACCAATATTCGGATCCACCCCTTCTGAGGGGTCGTTTATTATGGTAATTTTTCAAAAATTCTTGCTGACCGATCATTCATGATACGAATTTTTGCTTCAAATAACACATTTGAACATTCCATATAGATATATATTTACCAACAATATAATAATTCCGATCCACCTTCTCAGGGGGTATTTCGCTTTTGTTGTTTTTCAAAAGTCCTTGCTGAAAATTTTATATGGATATAAAGTTGCAACTATCACAATCATTGTGATCCTTCCAAAAATTCTTGCTGACCGAACATCTCTGGTACGAATTTCTGCTTCAAATTGCACATTTAAACATTTGATATAGATGAACAGTCGCCACCAATGTTCGGATTCACCCAGGGATCCCGAGGATCCTCGCAAGAATCCATCCCTTCAGAGGAGTAGTTTATTCTTGTTGCTTTTCAAATTGCACATCTCAACATTTCATTTATATGGATATAAAGTTGCTACAAATATAATAATTCCGATCCAGACTCCTTCAGAGAGGTAGTTTATTCATGTTGTTTTTCAAAAATCCTCGCTGACCGAGTATTCCTGGTTCGAATTATTTTAGCTTCAAATTGTATATTTCAATATCTTGAATGAATATTAAGTTACTATAAATAGAATAACTTCAATCCATCCTCTCAGAGGGTTAGTTTATTCATGCTGTTTTTCAAAAACTCTTGCAGACCGAGCATTTTTGATTGGGGGTAATCACGTGGCAAGTTTGGTGTACCACTGTTACAGGCCCAATCGTTATGAGACCCTGGTACAGGACATTACTAATCACTGAAGGTGACTAGGAACAGCCCAGCGCAACAGTCCTCATAATCAAAAAATCCACATGAGCCTTGTGACTAAAAGTCGGTTGTTTAGGAGGTGATAAAGTTTCAAAAGCAAGACAATCTGTAGGGACTGACGTCTAGAATCTGACTTCTAGTGGTGTTTACGTGACTTTTGGGCTTATTGGTTTTTTGAAAATAGGAATCATATAGATTTTACATTACGTGAAATAGTTACTATTCCTGTATTTGATCTAAATGGGTCAGAGTTCGTGATTGTTCCGGGCCAGAATCAACCGCTATTCTCTTTTGGGGGTCTTGTGTTGTGTATGTGTGTTGTGTAGTGTGCTTACCTGTTCAAGAGTTGGGTTCTTGGACGTTTGACTATACAGGCTTGAGAATCTAGAGAAGATAGTTCGAACTCTAGGAAGTGTGAGGTAGTTAGAAGAAGTTAAAGGAAGTTTGACGAAGTACGAGGAAGTCCGAGAAAGTTTGAGAAAGTTTGAGAAAGTTTAGTCAGCGAGGATGTTTGAAAACCATAAAAACTAAACTGCCCCTTTGAAGGGGTGGGTCGGAATTATCATATTATCATACATATTGGTCATATCATACGTCAATTTTGGTCTGCAAATTATACTGCTGGGATACAAATAACTGGGAATAAATTTTATATCGAGTAACTTTTTATTATGTCAAAAAGTATTACATCAAGAATTATTTATAGCAACATAAAAACAAATATCAGTATCATTCTAGATATTGTGCAGTCAAATACAGGATGATACATTCTATACAGATTTTGATTATTATCACAACATGCCCCCTTAATCGAAATCAAGAAAAAAAATTGTACACAGTAAAGATTATACAGGGTGTTTCATAGGTGAAGGAAAATATTTCAATGGTAGATAGGGGTCACCAAGGTTTGATTTGATTTGAAAGATTTATTTAGCTTTCGCTAGTTTTCTCATCATATTTTTTACAATTATAAACATATTAACAAAGTATAAATTCTTGAAATAACTATTAACTATACGTATAAACTATACTAAATCTTAAAGTAAACTTTTCGTAACATATTCTTAAAAATTTTAATATTTGGTGCAACTTTGACAATAAGTGGAAGGCTGTTGAAATGATGCAATCCCTGGACGAAAAGAGATTTTTGTAGAACATTCGAATGACATCTTGCTATATGGAAATTTTCTCTTGACCTGACGTTATATCTATGCATTTCCGATCTTTTCACAAGGAAAGATTGCAGATACATAGGAGCCTGTTTGTGCATGATTTTGTATATCAGTACTAAATTTGATTCTTCGATCATTTGTTCAACATGTCTATCACATTGGAGTAATATTCTCATACACTTATTTTGCAGCTTTTGAATTCTCTGTATATCACTTTTTGTACAAGAGGTAAGTAAAGACATACAATATTGAAAATGTGGATGAATAATGGTGTTATATACTACTTTTCTAGCCCAAAATGTAAGTTTTCTAGATATTCTTCCATAATATCCAATTTTTTTCCCTAATTTTTTACAAATATTATTCACTTGAGGCCCAAAGTTTAAATATGAATCTACTTGTACCCCTAAGTACTTAATCTCCTGCACAAAGTCAATCACTTCCTGTTCTATATGAATAACGTGGTTTTCGTTGAGAATGACTTACAGTTATTTTTTGAGCCCAGAACCATACATTTCGTTTTCTTTACATCAAGCTTCAACCTATTATATTTCAACCAGTTACTCAATTCTTTGAGTTCTGCATTCATTTGAATAACTACTTCCTCATGATTTTTTCCACATATCGAAATCAGGGTATCGTCATATTGACAAAAGAATTTTGTAAAGCATTGCCTTAATCGTTGATATACAGAATGAACAATAGCGGACCCAATACACTGCCTTGAGGCACCCCATATTCAGTCCCAACTTTTTCCGAACAGTGATCTTGATACTTGGTTGTTTGAAATCGGTCTTCAAGATAATTTCTTAACCATTTCAACACGACACCCTTCATTCCATACTGTTCACATTTATTCAGCAACATTTTTCGATCAATAGTTTCAAACGCTCGTTTCAAGTCCACAAAAACACTGACCACAACGTTCCCTTCATCGATCTCTTTCCTCCATTTTGAACAAACATGTTGACATGCTGTTTCGCAAGAGTGGTTTTCTCGGAATCCTGATTGTCCAACGTAAAGAATTTCATTTTGCCTCAAGTAACAGCTCAGCTCCTCACAGACAACTATTTCTATCACCTTCTCTACAACCGGCAATAGATTTATAGGCCGGAGATCTTCAGGTTTTTTTGGACATCTAACTTTTGGTATAGGTACGATCAAGCTGCATTTCAGGTCTGTTGGCATCTTACCAGTTTGAAGAGAAGTATTCACCAGATATAGAAGTAGATACCCAATCATCAAAGGTGGTTCTGAAAGTACCATATTTGATAGGTCTTAGAGCCTTCATAACGGAGATACAGGGCGATTTATCGATTTCGAATAATTATTCATTCGTCTATATGTATTG